ATATATATATTTCCTGTGCTTAGAGAGGTAGAACAGAAAGCCTGGCTTAAAATAACATGGATTAGAAAGTGCCACTATTACAGAGTGAATAAACTTTTGTGGGTGACTCAGTCCTTCCTCCTCAGTCAAGTGTCTCATCTACAGTGACTGAGCCTCACCAGGAGCCTAAAATGTAAACAGACAAGCTTTATCTGAGGCCCCCAGGCTGTCTTAAATGTACCCAAAGATATAGCTATGCCCCTCACCTGTGCAGTGGCAAGTTTGAGTAAATCACTTTCAAAAAGTATCTCCTAATTTTTATTACCATTGTAACAACAATATAGCATTTCATATAGCATTTTTATCTACAATCTGCCAGGCACACTAAGGTTTTTATAGTGATGACTTCTACAGAATAATTAATTTTTTATACCAACAACATGTAAACAACCTACGTATCCAGTCATAGGAGAGTGATAAAAGAGAATACAGCCACATACGTACTATATTTATGAATGTATAGAAGCATAGAAGATACTGGAATTGTTAAATGAAAAAACATAATAGTTCATTTAATAAAATCCCCACTTTTTAGCACAAGGAGCTCTGATGGTATACTGGTAAAGGCATTTGGCTGCTAACCAAAAGGTCAGTGGTTCAAACCCATCAGCCACTCCAGGGAGGAACGATGAGGCAGTCTGCTTCCATAAAGATTTAACCCTTGGAAACCCAATGAGGGTTGCTATGAGTCAAAATCAACTCAGTGGCAGTAAGTTGGGTTTGGTGTGGTACAAGCTAACGAAACCTATGTCTTAAAATAAACTGAAAAGAAACACACAGCAATGTTAAGAGTGGTTATCTTTGTATGATAATATATTTTTCTTGCTAAATGTTCTTAAAAAGGGTACTTTCCTTTAAAAATAGAAGGAAAATCCACTCAACTCCAAACTTCTTAAAAGGGAAACAGATTTGACATAGTGGTTTTGAGGGCATCACTGTCAACAAATGGAGGTGTTCTTGACAAGGCCAGGCTGCAACTCAGTGACAGCACCAAGATGAATGTTCACAGCCTCTGTATTTCTGGTGTTTTATGTCTTAGCTCTGAATCTAATCGATTCCCTAACTGCATTCTCTCTGCATTTCATATGTTACTTATAAATAAATTTATAAAATAAAACATGCTCCCCTCAGAAGCTATTACTGTCACTCCAGCCCTTCCTATTCCTCAGATATGGTGAGCCATAGGCCCTCAGTTCAGTGCCTTTTCCTTAAAGGTGTTGGTAGGCAAGAAGAAAAAAAGGATTTGAACACCAATCAAGTTATCTCTGAAAGCAATGCTTATTCTTAGGATGATTGGTACACTTAGCCAACCACACAGCCCAGATGACCAGCGACAGTCTTAATTCAGACCACATGTCAGGCAGGTCATCCCAGCTTTTAGTTGGAAAATACTGTCATTGTAATTTAAACACAGTGTAAGGGTTTTTTGCTTGTTTGTTTGTTAATAAAAATTTAGTAAGAATTAAAAATTTTGGGAGTCAGGTGTGGGCAGAATTGTGGGGAAATGGGGACTTTCATACACTGAAGGTGGGAATCTAAATTTAATAGTCACATTGGAGAGCCTATTAAACCTGAAAACAGTACCTTCCACAGTCATCAATCCCTCATCTAGATATATATCCTAGAGAACAATCACACATGTGCACAAGTTGACACTGTCAAAGATTTTAATTGTAGAAACATTTATTTGTATGGAAACTATCAAATGTTTCAGAATAGAGGAATGGATAGTAAAATTTCATATATTCATAAGATGGAATATTTACAATATATAGCACATGGACCAACATGGATAGATTCACACATAGTTAAAAGGAACAGATCTCTGAGAATTAAAAAGAAAGAAAGAAAGTATCTAGATTTCTAGTTTCAACAAGGATAGACATCAAAAACATATTGCTAGGTGAAAAAGTCTACACTGACACCTGAAGAATGATACCCTTTCTATAGAAAATAAAATAAAATATAAAAACTACAACTACAAATTTGTTATGTTTGTGTGACTGTATATCTATATCTATATCTATATACATATATACATATATATATATGTATACACACACACACACATATATATAAAAGAGTGCAAGAACATTTTAGAAGGAAGCACATTAAAATTGCAACAGGGACTATGTCTGAGGGCATACAGAAGGGACTGGGATTGAGGGATGTGAAAGGTGGTGGTAAAAGGGAATTACAGTTTTATCACTGACATTCTAATTTTTCAAAGGTAAATGGCTATTCCTGTGTTACTTATGTAATTACTGTTAATTTTTAAAAGTCTCAGTAATTACACTGCTGTTGTTATGTGCCATCGAATTGGACCGACTCATAGCGACCCTTCCTTGGGTTGCCGAGGCAGTATCACTAGGAAAATAGATTGCCCAACCTTCCTGCCGAGGAGTGGCTGATGGGTTTGAACCGCCAACCTTCTGGTCAGCAGTCAAGTGCTTTAGGCACTAAGCTACCAGATCTCCTATTAATTACATTATGCTCTAATATATTTATTATATCAAAAGAAGCTAAAAACGTGGAGCCTTCTTGTAAGAAATCATTTCCCACAGCACCACACCCACCTCTCCACCCCTTTTCCCTCCATCCTCCCCACACCCAGCACACTCACTTAGCCAGGTTCACTGTGGTGTGAAAAGTGCCCCAAAGCATAGCTCACCTTTACCACAGCATTTAGGGACCAGAGCCAACCACATCAGCAATGACTTCTTAGAGGAAAAGTTATGCTAGAAAACAGTTGACTGTTAGATATTCCAGGAGCTCTGGTGGTGTAGTGCCTAAGGCATTTGACTGCTAACCAGAAGGCTGGTGGTTCAAATCCACTGGCCACTCCTAGTAAGGACGATTGGGCAATCTACTTCTGTAGTGATATTCAAAACTCTCACTGCTGTCTAGTTGGATCCAACTCATAGCAACCCTTCATTGGGTTTCTGAGGTGGTATTCCTTTCCCTGATGATTTTGAGAACAAGTATTTCAGAATTAGGAACCCATCAAACCAACAGGAAAGGCGAAGGCAACTCCCTACATTTCATACCTGTCAAAAACCACTGCAGAATAAGCAGGCTCAGCAAAGATGATGTCCGCAGCCCAGAACTCCTTAGTGGCCTTCAGCCCCCTGCCTTTGCCCTCAGAAGTGAAGACTTCCACGTTCTCCATTCCCCCTATTGTCATCTCAGAGACCTTCAGGCCAGCACTGCAGTTATTTAACACTGAGACAAGTCTCTTGTCATTGCTGCTATTTCAGCACCTTCAGTATCCCAAAGAGCAAGACTATAAATGGTAAGCCACCTCCCCTTCCCTACCCTCTTAGCCACCGGGCCCTCACCTCCCCCTCCTCCCCGTTTACTGGAAGCAGGAATGGACAGGCAAGAGGACAGTGATCTGGGGAGGGTCCTTCAGCAAAGCTGACAGAACAGAAAGTGACCAGGGGCTGCTGTGGTTCTAGACTTAGGCCTGACAACTTTGGAAAAGTTCCTTTGCAAGAAGAAATTATCTATATGTGCTAAGCACTGGACTCTTGTCATATTCAGCTCTAGTTGGAATAGGGAGCATTTGGTTACTGGGGTATTTTTAGCAACCAGATGCCTCTGTCCATCAAAAGCTGACAGCAGCCCAAGAGAAGAGCCAAGATGATATTATTGCTGCTCTGGGAGGCTTCAGCTGTCAGGGTTGTACTTTCTCAAGTAATCTGGGTCCCTCTATCTCACATCTCACATGGGTAGACAGTTTGTGAGAAGCCACAGAAGATAAACTGACCTCTCTGGCATATTGTTGTTATGTGCCATTGTGTTGATTCCTACTCATAAAGACCCTGCAGGACAGAGTATAACTGCCCCATACGATTGTCTAGGCTATAATCTTTATGGGAGCAGTTCACCAGGTCTTTTGATTCAGTGGAACTGAATCACCAATGGGTTCAAACCACTGACCTTTTGGTTAGCAGCCAAGCACTTAACCATTGCACCACCAAGGGTTCCTTCTTTGGCATATACATAGCATACATACATGCCTAAACATATATGCATATATGCCTAAACATACTATTTAGGCTGCAAGGGATGTCATTCATCATTCTTCTCTGAAAGGGATGCCATTCATAATTCTTCTCTGATTATTACCTAGGCCCCCAGCATAAGTACGCAGACACTTATGCACATACACATATACACCCACACACCAGGGCATAGAGGTCTGGGAGTTCCTTGCTTAATGACACTGGAGCACAGGCCTGATACAGAGAGGAGGCAGGCCTTAAAATAAAAACCTGTTTCTATCTTTCTATCAAATCTCCATTAAATATGTGTCTGCTTCTTGGAAAATACCAATGTCCTGTGGCCTTCTTCTTACCCAGGAGTGAAAAGAAAGGAAGGACAATTATGAAATTCCCATTGAATTAAACACCACTCTTTCTGGCTCCCAGGCAGCTCTCAGTGAGGTTAAAAAGAAATACCTTTGCAGATCTGGAGCTCTGACTTATTCTTCAACCATGTAATATTTTTAGTTTCTGCATCTATCTGTGGGGGACCCACTGCCCTGAATCCCTATAAGTTATTTAACACTGTTATTTAATTAAAGTTATTTAATCCCTATAAGTTATTTAACTCAGCATCCAGAGCAAAGAAGAATGAAAAAAATCAAAGTTGTTTGCAAGCACTGGCTTCTAAATCAGATAAATCTGGGTCTGAATTCTGACCAGTCACTACAATCTTGAGACATAACCTGCAAAACAAGGACGATAATTTCTATCTCACTGGAGTGTGGTGAGGGTTAAATGAAATAATACATATAAAAGGCACAGCACAGGGCTTGGCAATCAATAGAGAAGTCATTCAATGATTGCTATTTTATTTGATTAATTCTGCTACATACCCCTTGTCTTGGTTCTCTAGTGTTGCTATAACAGAAAATATCAGAGAGGTGACTTTACAAATAGGAATTTATTCTTTTACAGTTTAGGTTAGAAGTCTGAGTTCAAAGTGCCAGCTCTAGGGGTTAGGTGAAGGTCCCCAACCTTGGGCTTCAGCTCTGCCTCCTGTTCCAGGCCCAATAGAGCTGGAGGCTTTTTCTGGCTGTTTGGCTGACAAACCAAAGATGGAGAAATAAAATGGCACAGTCCCAAGGTTAGCAGACAACATGACAGGCCACTAGTTCCACTCCAGGAACAATCTTAAGATCAACAGGCAACATGGCAGGCCAGTGAGATAAAGACTTGATCAAATTCAGGATCCTGATGTGCCAAAAAGCTTGAGAACTTTCCCAAAGCTTCTCCTCATATACTGGAAGCAGGCCACACCCCAAAGACAGCTACTCAGCTGCTCACAGCAGATTACAACCTGGAGTTGATTACCAAATTCATCATGGGAATAACTAAATCCAGCTGCCCAGCCACTCAAAACACAGCCCAGCCAAGTTGACACACAGTTTTAACTATCACAAACACTTCCCACACACACACAGGAAAAAAAAAAAAGGTATCAAGTTGTCCCAGAAATTCTAATGCTTCTTCAACCAAATTGCATCTCCCAAAGCTCCTTTGACTCTCAGAAGCAGACCAAAAATTCTCTGCTAGACCATATTTTAATATTAAAATAATTAATAATTAATTAATTAATTTAATATTGAAATATGGTCTAGCAGAGAATAAACATATTAGGTTTGGTAAAATCCTGGTTTTTAAGTCAAAACACATAGCCACTGAAACTAGGGAGCATGTCAGTGACTTCTAATGAATCTTAAGCAAAACAATTGAAGACATTTAAAGGTGGGTGTCCCTTCCATCTAAGGTGCAACTATTGTGGTCTCTCCGCATCCAGAGCAAAGAAGAATGAAGAAAATCAAAGATGCATGGAAACAACTAGTCCAAGGGTCTAGTGGACTACCTGAACCTCAGCCTCCATAACTAGAAGAATTAGATGGTGCCTGTCTACCAATGTTCACCACTCTGAAAGGTATCACACAATAAGAGATCCTGGATAGAGTGGGAGAAAGATGTGGAACAAAATTCAAAATAACAAAAAAGACCAGGCTTACTGGTCTGATATTGACTATTGACTGGTGGGCCTCCCAAGACCATGGCCCTTTTTCACCCTTCAAGCCTGGAACTGAACTCACTCTGGAGGCTCAACTTTCGGACAAACAGCGGATAGGTCTATGAAGTGTTAACCAAGGAGATATGCACTCCTTAGAACAATCAACCAAAAGAAATAAAAAGGGTAGCATTTGCCTAGTGATAAAGCTGAGAATGTAGGAAGGGATAGGAAAGAAGTACAAGGGAAATAGTAATCACAGGAAGAGTGATGTCATATTGTGAGGATTGCAATCAATGTCATGAAAGAAAATATGTGTTGACTATTGAGTGAAAGACCAATATGCTCTGTAAACTTTCATAATAAAAAGTTAAAAATAGGATGCCAAGTAATTTTTTCAGTATGTCTTATGCAACATTTGAGATATGCTTATATTAAAAAATAATTGGTTGTTTATCTGAAATTCAAATTTAACTGGGCATCTGCATTTTATCTGGCAGCTCTAAAGAAGGTAGACGTCAAGATTGAAGCTCTAGCAGCCATCATGGACCATGAAATTTACTTATGGCAAAAAGCCACATACCAAGGATGATAGAGAAAATATAAAAGAATCCAGGTCATGGATGGTCAAGGAGTGCCATACTAACTCTGGACTACCTCCCTCTAAACATTTTTAGAGGAAGATAAATAAAGGAGATATCCTTTTTGAAACAAATATAGACAGGTGCCCCCAAAAGTAACATCACACACTTCGAAGGGGGTAAAATAAAGGATTAGAAAGGAGTTCTTCAGTCCAGGTTAGCTTCACAATGAATGCACAGTTCCCATATTGCCTAGCAACTCAGGGGCTTGTAACGTCCAGGACCTTCCTCCAGGGGCCAGTGGCTGAGCCTAGCAGAGAATAGATTGTTCTCCTCTAGACACTGTGGCCCTAGGACACATTCAGCCCAGTCATGGTCAAGGATGAAATGTGCCTATCACAAGACCAGAAGGAGACAGGGAGTATCAGTCCAGAGCTTTAGTTACATCTGTGGTCTCAGTCTTGTCAAAACAGCAATCATTACATAAAATGAACCTGTGAGAGCTGGAATTCAACAGGACTGCCTTGTTTTTTCAGATCTCCCAAGTTTTCCACCTATGACAGGGTGCAGTCTTAGCACTATTCTATTACTTTTTATTAGAGGAAATTATTTGGGTTTTCCTTCTCTGACATATTTCCTACTACATAGGTTCTGGCTTTTGCAGGTTTTACTGTAATATTAAAATATGGTAGGCAGAGAGGAATAGGCAGACAAGCGACACAGACACTCTTCAACAAAGAAAAGAAAAACCAGTTGACGGAGATACAGAAGATAATCCTGGAACCCTGAGCTTTGAAAGGAACTATACAGAAGTGGATTAGGCACCAACTAGTGGAAAAACCTGAATGAAAACAGTGAGTACAGAGACGGTCGGAGCTGCGGACTGTCAGCTACTCTAATGAGACCAACAGCCTGAATATTTCCAAGTGATGTTGGGACCTGAGAATTGACCTAAAGATCAGTCCCGGTCACCAAGGGCCGCAGGGACAACTGCTCTGGTGGCCTATGACTAGGAAGGGAAACAGCAAGGAGGGAGACAACCTGAGCTGTGGACTTTGTGCTATCCGGAGGGCGCAGCCATTTTGATTGTTTACACATGATAGCCATTTTGAATATTTAAAGTGAAAGAGGGCGCAGCCATTTTTAATGTTTACAAGTGGCAACCATTTTGGATTTTAAAGTGATAGGATTCTTATTCGGATTCCAAGGACCTAAGAACAGGCTCTGTTTGCCAGGGGTGGCAAGGACATATGAGAGGCTGACAAAGGAAAAGATACAGGTGGTGAGTGCATAAGTGCTGTCAACTAGTCAATAGAGGAGCATAGCACAGTACCCTGCCTATATAGATAACATACAAAGAAAATGAAAACTTTGGGCAAGTCACTCCAACATATAATCACCAATTAAATATAAACACAAAAACGTCACAATGCCTCAGAGACAACAGAGCATCACGGTCCACACAAAGAAGCAAGATAAAGCAAGAGAAACAAGGGACCAGGATACAGACCCAAAACACATCCCTGAGGAAGAAGCAGCATTGTAACTCCCTGATAAAGAATTCAAAAGAATTATATTTAGGTATCTTCAAAGGATGGAGACACAGACCAAGGAAAAACACAGACAAAACTCTAGAAGAATTTTGGAAGAAA